TCTCCAGTTGTGAGGACCACCCTCTGCTCCCTACCATTAAGGTAACTCATGAACCAGTTCAGGGCAGTTCCACGGATGCCATTATGATGCAGCTTTTCTAACAATATCTCAAAGTTTACGCTGTCGAAAGCCTTTGCGAATTCACATGCGATACCGACAGTTGAAAGTTTTTTATCAACATTTGCTATTATTTTTCTACATATATCGTTAATGGCGGTTGATGTAGATTTGCCAGGAAGAAACCCGTGTTGGCAAGCACTTAGTAATCCGTTCGACTCCATCAACGAGATTAGTCTTTTTTGCATCAATTTTTCCAAAAGTTTTGAAAAGGTCGACAAAAGTGATATCGGTCTATAGTTTTCGAATTTGTTAACATCTCCTTTTTTGAATATGGGAACTACGTGCGATTTTTTCAGGCATCTTGGGAATATGCCTTGACTGAGAGACTCATTATAGAGTTTCACCAGGTCTGCACAAATAGGTTGTAGAATGTTTTTCAACATTTTTGAAGATATATTATCGTAACCGGCCGAGTTTTTGGATTTCAAGGATCGGACTACTGATGAAATCTCGTTCACATCCGTAGGATAGACGAAGAAAGTTCTGTCATTTGGACAATTCTGATTTTTTAAATAATCCCTGATCTCAGTTTCATTTGTTTCTCCATCAATTTCAATTGCATTCAAGAAGTAATCATTGAATTTATTAGTGAATGAGTTGGAGTCCTCACTTTCCGGTATTTTGATAGTTTTTTTAAATTTTGTGTCATTTTTTGTATAGGACTCTCTTGTTGGATCTTCATAATGCTGAAGGATTCACTAATGTCAAATTTCGCCAATAGAGCCTATTTCGAATAGTTTTAGTGGATATAAAGTGTTATAAATTTCATTTTCCGTCGACCTCGTATTAACGACTAAGTTTAATGTATATGAAATCGTTCATTAATGACCCCTATTAATAAACGATTTGTCTATCAATGCACGATTGTTTTATAGGCAACCAAACATACACCGCGTGCATATTTTCCGTTAATGGGTGCGCCTTTCAAAGTCTCTGACACGATTTTAATCCCTGTTTTCTAACATATGGAATTTATTTTCTATGTTGATCATTTCGACAAATGTCAAATGTCACTAATGTCAGTAACAAGGCTACTGGGTGATTCTTAGCAGTTTCCGGATGAATGATGAATTCGCGAACCAAGTTCTCTTCATTGCAGGAGAAATGAGAAATATAGTCGACGGAAAAATTTTGTAACCAACTTGTATATTGAAAGGCGATTAACGATCTCGAACATTAACGCGCTCGTTTCGCTCGCACGTTAAAATATCTTGATCATTAATCGCCCTCATTAATACACTAGTTGGTTAAATAACTATTTCCTTCTCGTTTAACTTCTATAATTTTTTTATGTGATAGACTTCTTATGTAATATCGTAGTTGTGGTTGAAACTTGTCAGATAAGTTGTGAAACACTCAGTATATTGAACAACAATACTCTGTGTCTCATTAGTCTCATACTTGGGGAATAAATATTGGAAATCAGTTGATAAGAATCATCGATATCAGGAAACAAGTTTGAATCGAAAATTTTCATCCTGTATTCCAATTAGAGAAGAATTTCCGAAAACGTCTTGAGTTAATAGTCTAATATAAATAATGGATATCGGGAAAGCCGTTTCTGAATATACTGAATCGAATGGGTCATGGTTTTAGACACCATTTTTAATTTTTTTTACTGAAATGAGATTTTGTCCTATTTTCTCATCATCCTGTATATTCTACAATAGTACTTTTGTCGTCATTCATTGTCCTCCACAAAACACGAGAATAGTTCTTCCCAATAGTCAGCTATATAGAGAAAAAATTCAAGAAATGCAAGACTTTCGAAAAAAAATCGAATTTTTGTTCCAATGGCCAATTAAGGAGAAATCACGAAAATGTCCCGAGATGGGGTCCCAGTGTATCATAATATGACTGAGTTTTGAGCAGAAAAAATTTCTCGAGTTCTGGGAGCATTGGAAATGTAGACCATAGTGTAAGGATTCCACTTTACACCCTGTTTGAGTTTTGTTCTGCGGACTATTTTAGAGTGTTCTAGCTCTTTTTGAAGACGATGAACTATCACATCTGGTATCGAAAACCGCATGGAGATCGGTCAAATTTTTCAAAAAATACAGGTCTCCGGAATAGAGTCAAATTATGAGTGGTCCATTTAGTGTGTTGAGAACTGTAGGTAGATAGACACCGCGGTTCGTTCATACATCATTGGAAAGTATTCGCCACTAATGATTAATTTATTCATGAAACAGAAACACTATGAAATTTGTGTATACCGAGGCAGGCTAGAGGCATATGCCAAAGCTGTAGGAAGAAACTTCACTTCCAGCACGTTTCTTCCTCTAACCAAGAAAAATGGAACACTAGCCACAACTGCCCAGGAGGAAGCCAACATTTTTGTGCATTTATTTGCTGGAAATTCCACTCTGGATTCATCGGGAAAACAACCTTTGATAAAAACGCCAATTGACAGTCATATGCCTGAGATCACCTCTCGCCAACGTACAATCTCACCGATTGTTCTCAAGAAATGTTCTCCCGAACATACACCTGTTCTCTGCAAGTTGTTCAACTACTCCTACAAATTGGGGATATTCCCGTCCAACTGAAAAAATTGCAAGAGTACAACCAGTTCCTAAAAAAGACACAAAGACCCTCTCTAGCAACTACAGACCGATCGCACTGATACCTATTATTTCAAAGATCATAGAGAAAGCTATCAACATCGAGCTCATGAACTACCTGGAACATTCAGGTATTATCAACGATAGGCAATATGGCTTCTGTGTCATCAGAGATCAACTGGTGACCTGCTCGCTTACGTCTCACATATATGGCAGCAATCTATTGAAAAATATGGTGAAACCTTAGCCGTGCATGGTAATTGATATCTCCAAGGCATTCGATCGAGTCTGGCACCACGGACTCCTCGCCAAGCTTCCATCTTATGGCTTGCCTCCCCAGCTATGTTCTCTGCTAGCTAGTTTTCCCTCAAACAGGTCTCTCCATGTAGTGGTCGACGGAGTTTCATCTGACTCTCTTATCATAAATGCTGATGTTCCGCAAGGATCAATTCCAGCACCAACACTATTTCTACTTCATATCAGCGATTTGTTGGTAGCAACTTCATGTTCATCGAAATGGATGAGACTTCAGACAAAACAACAATAGACAAACATTGCGATTCGTTCATACATCACTTAACTATATGCCAACAATCCTAAACACCAAACATAAACAATGAAATCGCGAATGGTGGGGATAATAACAGACACATGTACATTTTCGGATGATTGCTCATACTGAATAGCAATAAACAATAGATATACACCGCGGTTCATAAATCAATCGAGTAGCTATATGTCAACAATCCTAAAAGCCAAACTCAGGATGAATGAATGAAATCGCGAATGGTGGGGAATAACAGATACTTGTACATTTGCGAGAGAGCTCTCAGACTAAATATCAGTAGATAGATATCGCGGTTCATTCATCAATCATTAAATCGAATATGCCAACAATTCTGAATGCCAAACACGAATAAATGGATGAAATCGAGAATGGTGGGGATAATAATTCAAGGGAGTCATTGCCAGGGATTGATACAATGATGAGAATGAATTAAAATAAAGAAAAATAGAGTTGATTAAGAAAGATCTTCGATTTTTTTCGCATTTTCCATAAGACAACTTTCAACTTCTTTTTTAAAAGTTAAGCATTTTAATTTTGATGGCATTTTTTTGTTAATTTTAGATCCAATAAAACAAGAACATTTTTTTCAAATTCTAAACTTGTCTTACAAGTCGTAAATTGTTGATTTTGTTTCTTTTATCATAACTATGATTGATTTTATTGGTTATTGCCGGATTCTTTTCAATACATATTATTGACGGCTTATAGAATAATTGCCTGACATTCAATATATTATTTTCTGAAAATGATGATGCTGATGGATAATCGAATGATTTACGGAATATTATTTTCAAAACATATTTTTGAATGCATAATAGGTTTTAGATGAGTTTGATACATACCACCCCATCCAAATATTCCATACGATAATATAGATTGGGAGAGAGTAGGGTACTTCTGAGTTTCTTTGTTGTTTCTGAGACATAATTCCACTTAAAATTTTTATCAATGTATATACCAAGATATTGGATTGTATTCACTTTAGATATTTTATTAGTACACGAACAAATTACTGGTATTTCGAATACATTTCCAGAGCAACTCTGATCATGAATTGTCAATTTTATTATATATTTTGGTTGTATATCATCATAACAGGAAAACGTCATGAATTTTTTTTAATTCAAATTTAGAGTTAACAAGTCAAAATCAAGATTATTGTTTACTATTTCTATAGCTTTTTCTGCATTAGATACAGCTTGTGAACGATAATGTCCATTAACAATTATCAATGTATCATCAGCATATGAGAAAATATGTCTATCAATATATCATTTCAATATTTCATTATTATAAATGAGGAAAAGAATTGGATCTAGAACAGTTCCTTGAGGAACACCACAAATAAGATGTGGTTTTTGGCTGCAAGTATCTTGTAATTTTGCAAATTGTCCTCTTTCCGATAAGTAACTCTTTAATAAGCCCAAACACTTACCCCTTATGTCACAATTTTGTAGTTTTCTAAACAGAATGTCATGAGAAACTGTAGCGAGAGCCTTTTTCAAATCTGGAAATATTCCTATATTTCTTTATTTGTTATCATAAAGTGAATTAATCATCAGTATTTGTAACATGAAATATCGAGGTTTCTGTTCCTATTACAGGTGTGGCAAAATTGCCAAATTGATTGGGAGATATAATGTTTTTGCTTTGTTAGAAATCACATATTTAATCTATTCTTTGAAAATTTTTCAAGAAGTTAAGCTTTATTATTTATTAAAGGATGGAAATGATGAATACATTCTTACCATGAATATTCTTGCGGCCAACGATTCAGCGGTCTCCCCCTTTCCCCAAGGTGACAGTGCCGCGAACAATATTTTGAAATAGTCGAAATCGACTTTGTATGCTTCGTAGGGCTGCAACGATGGATCATGTTTATCTGGAATGCATTTCTTTTCCCTGATTATTTCTTCCCTAACTAGCGCCAGCAGATCCTTCAAAAAGAAAAAAAAACTATTCATATATTTTCAGTAATATCTGCAATAAAAATATTAATTTAGTTCTCATCAAACTAAGAAATAAAATCAAACAGTTCTTTTCCAGAACTTGTTTGTCTATAGAAAGGCAAAGCTTCGGAATTCTTTGCCAAAGAGAGTATTTCCAAGAACTTATAACCTCCAAAAGTTAAAAAAAAAGCTCCGACTACACAACTGCCGCGGCGGTTAGACCGCCATGATACATGAGGAACGAAAATATCGTTTCTGCATGAAAAAGGGGACTACTTTTTCCAAACAAAACTAACCTAACTCTTCTAAAAAAACCTTTCTCCTGCGAAGTATATTTTTCGAAAAATAACTTATGAAAAAAAAAATTCACAAAAATTAGTCCTCGCAGGGGTTGAACCCAAGTCACCGCCGTGGTGGTCAAATACACAGTCAACTGAGATATCGCCTTGTTCGGAAGTACTCTCTGTGAAGTCGCGGCGGTTGTTCATGTATCAGTATCCAACCGCCGCAGCGGTCGTGTAGACATATATTTAAAAAAATGTCAATACCTAATCCTCTCACTTTCCTACCTATGGGTTCCCTTTCGTGCAAAGATGAAAAAGTTCAGAAATCATCCCTTTATTTCTATGTATGTTAATATTTTTGGCCTGTGGGTGGGAGATTTTCAACTACTACTGGTACTTCCTTGACAAAATATTGGAATTTTTCATATGTGAGAAAGATGAATCATTATGAACGAAGGCTCCGAATAGGTCGTGAAAAGTCCAATCATTAACAGCTCTATGAAATGTTGAGATATGAATAGGTGGCAATTTTATATTTCGTTTTCTACCATTTTCACAAGATATGATCTGATTTGTCCTCAATAAAAATATAGGGTTGTCAAAGAAAACGGAATTTTGTTTTCGATTGTATATTTTTTATTTATGGACGGATTCCATGGATTTTAGTCTTGTTTGAAAGACAAAACGTTGACTCCATTTTATTGAATTTCATGAAACAAAATGCGGACACACCTATACTTAACAGAACTTTAAAACCTGCTGGAACTTGTTTGAGTCGCACTGTATATTTGTGCGTGAGATATTCTGAGCACGTGGACTTTTCTGGACAAATGAAGAGGTCAATCATGCAAATCCGTCAAGAAATTATTGACAAATGACAGGATAAAGACAGGAATGTTTTCTCATCTGGATTCCGATTTACTTGCGTTTGTTGGTTTGCCTGTATTTTATGTTTAAGAAACAAAATAAGAACAAAGATAATATCTTCATGGTTTCAGATTTGACCGATAATTATGGAAAATACTTAATTTAACGTACGAAAAATAGAAAGATGAATATAAACAAAAAAACAATCAAATGAGAAAATCAAATATCTGTATGTTCCCCATGAGCTTCAAGTTCTTCCATTTCTGTGAATCCTGCCCCCGAATCATCCCACAGAAAATAGTCGCATGGCATGAAATTGTTGTGACACTACTCAAATATCTCACTGGTATTGGAAATTTATATCAATTCCAATAGCTGTAGACAATTTTATGCCGTTGCAAGTGTTTTCCCATTTGTAAGAACTTCACAAACGATAAGATTTCCACAAAATTCTCAAACACACGACATGTTTCGCTTACACAGTAGCTTCGTCAGATGATATTCTGGTACAATGAACTGAACTAACCTTGGCTTGCCTGACTATTATATATCCTACATTCCCAACCTGAAGAATTAGTTACCTGTGGACAGGTTCGATTAACCTCAATTTTCCAAAATTAGGCACAATAACTACATTAAAATATGGTGTACGGGATTAACTTGAAAGGGTTGATAGCTGATACATATTACTACCTACTAAGGAAACAAAATCAACAGTAGTAAACTATTGAGGTCTAGTTGATTTTTAAGTAAAATGTCATTATTTTTTAGTTCAATGATTCAAAATGATTGATTATCCTCGTTTCTATAAAATAAAAATATTAATATTATTTCAATATACGTGTAGTAAGGACAAATCAGATGATTTGCCCAACAATGTCACTGCATTTGAAAAAATTTACCTATCAGAGAGCCTAAAAGAAAAATTCACTAGCTTGTCAGTGGCAGTGTGTCCATTTAGTGCGTAATTCTTAGATATCCCGAAAGCCATAATATACAGAGAAAAACGTTGAACGAAAAACTTTTTCAGTTACTGAAGTTGCTTATTTCATATTATTTTCAACATTACTGGGTCTTCTATAAAAGCGGGACGACTCGGAGACGAATTTTTTTAAATAGAACACCCAGTATTGTTCATGCGGAATTTATTCCACCGAGGTTTTCCTTCACATCGCTGTAAAAAAAATTGAATCGGTTGCGGCGTTGCCAAGTGATTATTGATAAATCTATTTTTACCACTATTGAGTTTTTTTATGTTCTGGTTCCCACGAAAAGGGTTATCCTGTAGTGTTCAGAGAACATCGTGAGAACCAAGGGAAATAAAGTAGGAATTGGTGTTCTTCTTGAATTTATGGAGGTGATATGCCTCGGGGAACACCTCCCTTGGCAATGTATTCCAGAGACTCGCTGTTCGTTGGATGAACGAGTCTTTGGAAAGAGATGTTCTGCAGGTCTCCAAAGTGACCACAAAGGGTTGCGAAGCCTCAAATCGACGGGTTAATCTCGCGGGGACTGACAAGGGAGGAACAATTGTTGATATTTCAGGTATATTGATTTATTAAAAATAGGAAAATATTTTCAGCACACGGTAGTAGCAAGGTCTTACATATACCAATCCAGTAATTTTGCGACATGTTCTTCAACAGGATGCTCAATTTTGCATTTAAAATTTTGCAAGATTCAGATGATATTCATTCAAATGGAACACCCTGTATTTTCATTCACAAATTCACTCCGACATGTTTTGCCTTTTCATTGCTGAAAACAAAATTGAATTCGGTTGCGGCGTTGTCAAGTTATGAATAATTTCCTTATTTTTACTACTATTTCGGGGTAATTTGTACGCCATAGAGTCCCTTGATGGAAATTGACGTTAAAGTCATCTTAACAGGGTACGGACAGATCATTGCTGCATTCTTTTTTAATGATTTAGAGATTTTAGTTTTGTCTACTGGCATCCCTGACATTGCTGTCACGTCACATCCATGGGCGCTACAGAAAATCATTCAAAATTTTAATAATAGCAGGGTATTTACTTGTTGAGGAAGATCATATGGCGAACGAGTTTTGAAATTATGATCTGATTCTATTCAAAATTGGAAGGTATGTGGGGTTTTCCGGGGTTTGAGATGATGATTGTTTCATCAAACTTGGAAAATTCAAGAGGGCGGATTCTATATAGTGGACGAGTTTTGTAATGAAGATCCGATTCTATTCAAAATTGATATCTGAAGGTTTTCGGAGTAGGAGATAATGATTCTTTCATCAAAATTGAAAAACTCAAGATGACGGATCCAATATGGCGAAAGACATAAGTTGATATAATTATTACTCTACCACAAATAGAAAATATGTAGGATGCAAGAGTGAAAATAACGTGCCTATAACTTATACTGCGTATACTTAGCGTATACCTACTTCTTTGTTACTTTCATCATTCGAAAATGACTTTTTATTTAAAAGAGACGGAAAAATCATATGTATAACATGGGGGTGAAGTATATTCTATTCTTTATTTTCCTGCACATTTTACGTATTGATTTTCATCAGCCTACTTTTCGTCCTAGACGAAGTTTTATACATAATGTGATATTAGTAACTCCATAAATTCTTCTCCGAGTTGGATTTCTGAAAATATATTCAGCACACATTACATGAGTACAGTAGTCTAGATACCCACATCGAGGTTTCCATCATTTCTCAATCATAAGGCTCAGCTCATTCAGCTCATAGATAAACTACTGCTCAGCTTGAAATCAGAAGCTGGAGTAGTAAACTCTAAAACTAGAGGATTGTTCATCTATATCTTGGTATAGTTGAATCAGGAATTCCATATGGAAATTACGTATGATACGCCAGTGACCTCAATATAACCTAAAAAACACCGAATGTCAAAAATCTAGTGTTTATCTCCAGAATTGAATAAGGATGGAACTATATAACTGTTTCACAAACACTTTAGAGTGAGACGAGACGAGGATCTGTCCGTACCCTGTTAAGATGACTTTAACGTCAATTTCCATCAAGGGACCCTAGTACGCCATAGTTCTTTCATTTATTTGTGTTGAGGAAATATTGCGTTGCTACGGTATAATCAAATTCCTTCATTGACCATTCATATATTTTTCACAATAGGAACATTTACAGGCTCTCCAAGTTGAATTTAAAACGGAGTGGGTCTTGACAAGTTGATCCATAATGCTACTTTCACAGATTTTTTCCAGACTATGAATAATTTTTTTTTCTGAAATACACTATTATTTGTGTAATGATAGACGTTGCTATTGACATGTTTGTGTGTTTCACATAACACAGGTACATCAAATTTAAATCATAAGTAACAAGATTACGGAATATTTCAATTTACAACACTCATATCATATGAAGGAACCATGCCTTATGAGTAGCCCTGTAATAGTAATAAACATAAGGAAATTACTCATATATTGAAAACGCCGCAACCGATTTTAATTTTTTTTTCAGCGACAAAAGGCGAATGTTGTCGAAATAAATCTGTGATGAGAAATACAGGATGTTCTATTTGAAAAATTCTAATGAACGTCGTCTGAATCTTACAATATTCAAAATATAACTTTAAGCACCCTGTGAAGGATCATCTCGCGAAATTACTGGATTCGTGTACGTGAGACCTTGCTACTACTGTATGCCGAAAATATTTTCAAAATTTGAATGAATGAAAATACCATGCCCAATTCAACATGACTCTTCAATAGTAGTAAAAATGGGATTATCAATTATAACTTTGCAACGCCGCAACCAAATTCAATTTTTTTCACAGCGATGTGAAGGTAAACCTGGGCGGAATAAATTCCGAAT